GAGACAGCGAGAGGGTAGAAATGGGGAAGACTTGGAGAGACTGTCGATTTCTTCCTGGTTTGATTAGATTAATTATATAAAAAAAAGTTTTTTAATTTTTAATTAAAACCTGATTTTTGAAATGTTAAACTTGTGATCTTATTTGTGAAATTGAATATTTAAATGCAGGTGTGAGGATAATTTTCTCTAATTATATTAGTATTGCTCATGATCCAACCCAAATACTTGAAAGGCTTTTAAAGATGTTAGCCCATTATCTCCTTCGCTATTTGGGCTCTACTATTTGACGTAAAGCCTATGTATATTCCTAACCTATTTATTTGGTTGTTCATCACTGTTTTGGTCGAGAGAAAGTCTTGGGCAGCCTTGTATTCTTGAGAAAATCGTCTTCTTCCTTTTAAGCTTTGTGCCTTGGCTTAGTGGTTCTCTTTTGGAAGATCTCTTTCTTTTGCTCTCGACATAGCCTTTGTGGCTAACTTCTTGTTGCTGAAAGCTCTTTCTTCTCCAAGTCCTTTGTGGGCTATTGAATCTTGAACAACCGGTTTGGGAGAGTGTTCGGTTTGTGGGTTGTGTTTGTCAATCGTGATGTCGTTTAGTTGGTAGACTGAGCCCGGATATTGGTTGATTGAAAACCCGAATTCCAACACTGGCTGTAATCAGAGAACTACGCATGGTTATGGTAACCTGAGTAGGAAAGGTACCTAAATTTTGATCCCATTTACAACTATCAGATGTAGAGTGATAACCAAACAGTCATTTAACTCCACATTCCACACAATTTTAAGAATGTCATCATACTCTTGCAAACTAGTGATTTGAAGTTTGAATTCATTATCCAACTAGAAATAGAAAATAATGGTAAAAGCTACCATTATTTACTGAGATTATTCTGCGCAACAATATCAATAAAAGTTGGCACCTGATGAAATACAAAAAACGTAGCAACATTTGGAATCACCATCAAATCTCTAATTATCAGCAGCTCTGAAGATGGTCAACAGAGATAGGAAGAGGTTGATGATATCTAGATACAGCGCAACTGCAGCCCAAATGTAATCGTCATAGGTATATCGCTTGATCAGATTATCAGTGTCGTAAATGATGTAACCACAGAATATTAGTGATGCCAGGCAGCCGTAAATCATCACAGATATCCTCCCCAGAGGGAATAGAATCTGCAAAATATAAAGACAATATAATCAGCACTCCATTAAACGAAAAAAATAATAATTGATAACTGAATAAGCAACAAAAACATGTGCAAAATGTGAATCCACAAACCTGAATCAGAGCGAACAACATAAGTACAACAACAGCACCGAACAAGAATGGCCCTAGGAAATTGAAATCATAACCTTTCCTTGCAGCCCAAAATGTGTATAAAGTGAGACTAATAACCACCGCGGCCGTTAAGATGACCGACTCCAGAATAACTTTCCCTATACCACAAATTCAAGTCGCATAAAACATCAGTAGGCTATTACCAAAACCTCTAATTAAGAGGCGAAATTCAGCAAGGCAATTGGTAGAAACTATACTACGACTAATACCAATTAACATCTTACCAAACTACTTGATCAAGGACGACTCTGCAGATATTGAACGCTAGGGACATCGATGCTTAAGCCAAGTTTAAGTAAGTATAAAGTCAATCTTTGTAACTCTTCAACCATTTGACCTCAGATATCATAACTAATTATTTAATTTCACATCATGTCCGGTAAGCAAATTTCATAAGACCTTCACCTATATATATAAGTGAACAATTATCTTTACCAGATTATCAACATTATATGGATCAACCTAATTCTTATATACAGACATTGCAACACGAAAGAAAAGAGGGAACTATTAACCTAAGGAAATCATTCTACACAAACCTTAATTCCTCCCACATTCAATACTTTAATGGGTCTGAACCGGGTATCATAAGGTATATAGGATATGAGAGCGCCAACAAATGCCCAAGGAGATGAGCTACATTTTGGTGCCCTTTACAGAAACTTTTCTCATTCAAGTTCATAATTTCTATTTGATTGTTCAAACATTAAATTAATTTCGATATCTGTCAAAGTTTTTACAATTGATGTCAAATGAAATAATGAGTTACATATCATGGAAATAAATAGGAGATATTACAAGCCTCTTGGCATCATACTATGAAAATTTCGTCATAAATCCACAACTTAAAGCTCATTTCTAGTAAAAGAAGGCTTCTTGAATTTATTTGCAACTCGTACTCCAGTCAACAATTTTTAACTATAATAACAAGATGATATCCAAAACCTCCATCTCAATACCAATTTTTTTTAAAAAAATACATGAAAATAAATAAATAAATGAAGAACAGAATCATTTACCACTGGTGAATGCACAAGTCAAGCCCACGGCGAAAGCAAGAGAAGCAGTGAACAAACCGAGCAAAAAATAATTCACTGGATGCTTCTGGTAGTAGTAATACAAGGGGCACAAAACTGCCATTACAACAACAATAAAATAAAATTAACAAATAAAACCAATAAAATCCATAAATCAAAAACCCACTTTCAATATTTGAAACAATTGCAAAAGATATAACAAGCATACCAATAAAAGGGGTGATGATTAGAACAATATAAAGGGCCAAACCCGCCCCAGTTGTGGTAAAGAAAACCGACACTTGACGAACAGAAACCACAACAGATGCAACAGCAATTGTGAGAAGCAATTGGATAGTGACTATGGTATATATTTTCCGAATGAACGACCACCGGAGTTCTGGGCTTTCCAGCATCATCGGATACAATGGACGGCGACCCGACTCCACGTCATCTTTCCAGTACGGTTGACCCCTCATCTTTCAATTAACGACAAACCCAACAACTACAGGAATTTTTACGAAAAACTTTTAGCAATTACTTATCAAGAAAGGAATGGAACTTATATATGATGCGGCAATTTAATGAACAATGGATTTAAAAAGAAAGAAACTTCTTGATGTATCATTGAGTTACACGTGTCAGTTTTTCACACACTGTTCTTGACCATTCCAGATTTCTCCGGGTTTATCTTTTACTTCCTCCGCACTTTGGGCCTTTGGCTATGTTGGTAACGAAAAGTCACGCTTTTTTAGCCCGAATAAATTATTTTTTTCATTTTCATTCTATACTCATTTTCAACTACACATTCTTCAATAAAATAATATTTTTCATCTCATTAACAACTTTTCCTTCATTTTTAACCACATATTCTCCATCAATCTATTATTCAATAATACTTTCTTTCAAAAGAATGTGTTCCAAACAGACTGCAAGTGAAAAAATCTCAATATAACATTTAAATGGAAAAATTTTAAACATAAATGTTAAAAGTATTAAAACACTTTTCTTGGTAAGAGTTTAAATCAATAAATTAATACAAAACTCAATAATAAAAATCTAAACTTGCAAATATATTATTTCTAAACTACTATCATAAATCATTATTTCCCTTAAAAAAATAGAAGCCGACTAGTAAATATATATTTTAAATTATATATTGAACTAATAAATAATATGTTTTGAGTAAATAAGTATTTTAAAAAAATTGGATGAACAATTCGATTTAATTTCAAGGGATTTTTAACTATCGAAACATAAACCGAATCATTTCAAAACGGTTTTGTCCGGCTTGAAATTGATATATCGATTGGGCCACGTGGAGCCAAATCAACAATAGTATTGCTTGGGTTACAGAAGTGGGGCTTCCACAGATCACACACAAGGGGGAGGGGGAGGGGATTTGAACCAATTTTTAATCAAGCGGGTCCCAACTTCATGTGAGGGTCGGTAAGAGGTCTATCAACTGACCCTCTATACATTTGGCTTAATCCAATCAACAATTTCAAAGCAACGATTTCAATTGGATTTGATGGGTTGACTTTTTGTTCACTCCTATTCTAATTCTATTAAAATATTTTGAAATCATTATACCTACGTCCAAACTTGAGAACTAAAACTAGTTCAATTTTAACTAAATTCGAATTAAACTACATTTAGGTGGTTTTAACCACCTACCTAATTAAAAACTTATAGAAATGTTGTGAAAAGAG